CACTTTACTTGACACTTGGAAGTAAGGCTTTCAAATGATAAAGTGTACTTTTCGGGGACTTCATTTCTTAGCTGACAGTCTCCTAAAGCAGGCCGATCAGCCTAGTCAAACGCTGCTCAAATGTCCAGTAAAACGACAATGGTTGGCTGGTGGTAGAGATTGCGGTGTTCAAGCATTTGCTGTAGCGTGAAGATCTGGTCTCCGTATCCTCGACCGGGGCGAAAGCCGGCTTGTTCTTCTCGGTAAAACAATTCGCGGATCGGGGATAGTCTGCGGAGCAGAATGGATGCCAGCCGTTTGGAAGCAACCGGCAAGATACTGATCCCCTTATGATCAGCACTGGACGTATGAGCACCTCACTTAAATAGGGATAATTACTGACTCACACCAGAAGGATGGAATCATCTCTTGGTGTTATATCATAGAAAACAGCGATGACAAATGCTTGACAAGTCCTTGACAGCCAATCTTGAATATCTCCGGAGGAAGCTTGTTTGAGCCGGGAGACTTGAATCGCTTAAGGTGTCGAATCTCGACGAAAACAGCCGCCTCATTTGTTAGCTCCAATGGAATGGGCCAGGGTATGCAATTGGGTGTACTTGGCATACTAGCGGATAAAGGATGAGGATTGATTGGGGAGTGAAACTGTTCGATCCAGTGCTCTACTCGTCTTCGCAAGTTAGTGATTCATGATCCATTTGCTTCACAGACAGTCCCTTTGACACTAGGCCTTCCAGGGCTGGTGAAACGAATGAACTGGAAGAGCTTGCGGAAACTGCTGAAGAGAGCAGCGGTCCTCATCTCCGAGACACACCGAAACCACCAAGTCTCGCGGTCATTTGGAAAACTTTATTTGAGTTTCCGATTGAGTCTGGCGTATAGGAGTATGAGTTGACTGGTGTCACATTTCGACTGCGGTCAGACAGATTTAGCGAGCTAGCGGAGATCCAACTTTTCAAAGGGTGTTGGGTGACACCACAAAGCGATTGACCAGAGAAAAGTATCGCTTCGTGTAAACAAGCCCAATGTTGCACAACATCTGAGAGCATCAGATAGTGCAGCTTGATAGCTAAGTTGGACAGAGGGGTCAACTAACCTGTTTACGTCAATCTTACGGTACAGTTTTTCCGGGGCCCACTGAAGCGTAAGCAGATGTTCGCACCAACAAGTGCGTGATCTGAGTCGAGGTAGGTTGACCAGAATGACTTGCAATATTGTATACAATCTCGCCAACGGAAGCTGATTGTGATGTGATCAATCTGGGACCAGAACTGTGTTGACGATGGTAAGCGCCATGCTGCGGAATCTCTTGTTATGCCTGGAAATTGTGCTGGAGAGGAACAGATTTTTGTCCTCACACAATGTGAGAAGCCGTTCCCCATTATATCTGAGTCTCTCGTTGAGCGCGTGCTGACCTCCAAGGTGTCTTTCAAACGGAAGCAGGCGACCGACCAGTGCATTAAAATCATCAGCAAGTATAACAACACCTGACTTGTCCACTTTACTCAGAAGAAGGTGAAGCTCGCGGTAAAAATAATCCTTGACAAAGTCGCTGCTGCGGTCAGTTGGGAGCGTGGGCAAAAATGACGAGTAAGTTTCGTGCTTCCTTGCGATGTCTGTTGATACGACGTGATCCCTGAAGCAGAATCACGTAAAGCCGATTGTTAACTGGTAACCAGTCTAGCAACCCAGCTTCGGCCTTCTTACTTAGCGCTATTCCAAAGCCAGCCAAAGCTGCTACAGCTGCTTCTGCGTCAGTGAATAGACATAGTTGGTATATGGTTCCGCGATCAGAGTGGGACGCCAGTCTGAGTACACTGTTACGGATCCTGCAACCGGATTGCGGAAACACAACAAACCTCAATGGCGAGAGACTCCATAGTGCGGGCCAGGCTCGTCTGTTGACCAATCTGCATAAGCGTTCATACCTTGAAACAGGCCAATAGGAACATCGACCGAGGTTGAAGTATGGCTGTCGATTGTACTTTTCAAGTGTCGTCAAAACCGAGATCGGAGGCAGAATCAACGGAGGTAGGATTGACAACAAATGAAGTGTTGGCAAACGGAAGAAGCAGAAGTAGCGGAAGCGTAAAGTTATGTCCATGATTTTTATCAGCGGGCATGCTACTGTCCGGTTGATTAGACCGAGGTATAGAGTTGACTTAGGGGACTATGCCCCGAGCCTTTGGCTCAATAGCCAACCTGCAAGACAGCGGGGCGAAGTTAGGAGATCGCTTCCACTGGGAGCCGGTGACGGATTGCACGGTTCATACGCCTTTTCTTCGGCGATCTGCCAAACTGGGGCCCAGTTCACCCAAAGCTTCAGACCCCATCTGAGGAATTACAATGCCTTGCGGAAGTAAGGCAAGGGGCGGTGACTTTATTTAGTGGTAAGTTACATTTATCACACCGCAGTGTTGTTAGACGGACATATGTGGCTTTTTATAGGGGGAACACCTGACAGGCGATGACTAACCACGGCCTGGAGCACTGCAGCCTAAGTTTCCACTGGAACGGGGCAAACCCGACCCACCCAGCTGGCGTCTCGAGGCTGTAGTTTGGCAAGCCAACCAAAAGCTGGATTGAATCACGTGAGATGCTAATCTTCGACAATCAAAAGTTCCATTTAACAAAATGGATCAACGGAAGCACATTCTGAGTAAAATTTCTGCTCGTTTATTCTCATCAGATTTAACCACTACATGAGGATGATTATGTGGTAAATGTGCTGGATTAGGTAGCGTATTGATCAGAACGTTTAATTCCAACGGGAACAGATCAATAACTCACGGAGTCATTGAAGATGGCATAGTATGTACACGGGGGAAAATAACAAAGCACACAAATCGCAAACCAAGATTAACTGGGGCACAAATCAAAGGAACGTACCGCAAAGTTGTAGGCCACGGTATAAGTAAAGGACGCACAAACTCTTTTTGCACACACAACTGTGGCTTGAGGAGGCTTCCGCAAAAGATAGGAGATGCTTCCGGAATCAGCGCGAGAAACGCTCATGGATAGTGTGAATGAGGTTGAAGTCGTTTTCCGTCCCTGCGTGACGGCACTCTAATAGGTGCTTCGACTCTGCAAAACCACTTCAGATGGTGTTAGCGAATTCTATGAGATAGGCGCCTCGTAGTACGACACACGTATCGCACACCACAGGAGCACGAGTACTAATAGATAGGCACTGATCGAGTCACCGGAGACAGCCTGGCTTTCCAAGGTTTTGCGAATAAAGACTTGTTGTATTATACTTTGCATAGGCGATCGGCGAAATAAGTCTTTTCAACAGCGTCTTTCAGGCTTTTGAACTGGTCATCAGCCGCACCGTCACCTTTGAAAGGAAAATGCACAATTAGTTCGTCGTTGGGTACACTCATCCTCGGTGGTTTAATTTTGCGTTCTTCAAATATTCGAGGATGAATTTATTTGGATATGCATTCGCTCTTAGAGCGACACTGATTCTCTGTAATCCCTTGATGATGGGGTCTGGTGTGCAAATTCTGTGTGCCCGGAAGGCAAGAGGGCGAACTAGAATCCGTTTGTACGGTAGTGGTACCGGACTATAGGAATTGGTGTACTGTCCAGTCCAAGTTGGTTATCTATATACTGCTCTGCTGCACGATCCATCGGTCGTTCTGATAATATCAACGTCCAGGAACGGTAGTCGGTTTCCGGACTCGTGCTCACATGTGACTTGTAGATTCTGATGCGCTTCTTTAAAGGCTTACAACAGCTTCACAGCCTGCGCTTTCGATCTGCAGAGCATAAATGTGTCGTCCACATAACGTATATACATCTCGACTTAATTGCTGTGCGTTATTAATGAGCTATGTTCCAATTATGTCATCAAGACATCTGATGAGAAGTACCAAAATGAATTCTTTACTCAGAATCTACCTTCGTTGCTTCATTCTATCAAATGGGCATATTTTATAATTTCTCCCGTATTGGAACTAATGCTGTAAATAGCACAAGTTTCGTTTCAGTAGTGTAGTAAATCCCTATCTGCACTGTTAAACTCAAATCGCTTATGTTTTTCAATAGTTTTGAAGAAGTAAGGGGTGGTCGCAGGTCTCCGATTTTGACGACTGCCCCATTAATATCACCGCTAAACGGATAAGAGTCTTGTTGAAAACGATACCTAACACAGTTGAACTACGATTGTTTGTGTCGACGAGCAAGCTACTTATAATTGCACTGATGGACTCAAAGTGGAAGCGAAGCAGGTCCCCCTCTTCATATAGATTCACCTGTAGCTGTAGAGACAGCTACGTTAGATGTACTGATCGAAGTCTGGGTGTCAGAATACTGCGAAGACCTTCGAAATTCGTTATGTGAATGATGGGTACCTTTGGTGCTTAAACCAGGTGAGTCGCCAAGCAGGCCTGTCTTAACAATCACGAGGTATTTACTGAACACCGGTGACCAGATCACTTATGATACAGTATTCACGGTCATCATGCAGTCAGACGTCTCACATTCCCATGCCTCTGAGATCCTTGTTACCTATTCAAAACGCCCAGCACTGCGCGTACGAAATCGGGCACCGGTGACATTAAGCTTACCGCGGTAGTGTGGGCTGGCCGGCCACCACTTGGCCATCGATAGATCACACGTGAGCATGTCCCTTCCGCACCCATCATTCGCTGCATGTATTTGATTTAAAATACTTCACAAGGTAGCGATATCATCCCACAGTCTCCGCCTTATGATTTTCGTGTTTGCTAAAATATTAGGCCGTATAAACAACCCGTCTTCTGGAATACCACTGGATTATCAGTGTAACGGGGATGTAGTACCCTTGCATCTAACAATTTATCTCATTTCCAAATGGGCTCAGATTCGCTCTGAGTCGTGTTTCTAGTACCCGTGGTAGCGATTTGCACAAAGTTTGCCGTACCCTTCCATCCAATAACTTTTGGCTGCATTCTGTTCATCCTTAGTTAGGTTGCACAAACGTTTGCATGCCACAAAATTTTTCCTTCACGTTGTAGCCGTCGTGTGCTTCAAATTCAACGAGCCACAGGATACAACGACGTTGGACCTATTCGCTGGGAAATTGCCCTTTGCCTTATGGCAATATTCACCATCGTTTATTTCTCATTGTGGAAGGGAGTCAAAAGCAGTGGGAAAGTGAGCCAAATTTGTAGGAATGTTTCACCCGACAATCTACCGTGAAAATGTGTAGTATTTCTCTGTTGAGCAGCTTGTCAAAAATTCTGTTTCTTCTTCAGGCCGTATGGGTGACTGCCACTCTGCCGTATGTCATACTGAGTGTCCTCCTCGTGCGTGGGCTCACTCTGGAGGGTTCACTAACCGGAATCAAATACTACTTAACTCCGCATTTTTCCAGCTTGTTGGAGCTCTCTGTAAGTAAACTCATCTTGTAGTAATGGTTCATGTTTTGACGTCAAATAAAAGTGGTCATTTTTGTTTGGGCATTGCAGATGAACCCTGTATCACATCGCCGGTGCACCACAAATCTACATTGTTGCTCATGAAATGAGCAAAGCTACTACCTCACAGTTACTATTGTGCCAATTAGCCACATATTTGGAAGTCGAGAACAAGCTCCGTAAATTTCCTAAAGCCACGCTGCTCTTCCATCTGCTTCCAACAAAAGTTATTATTGTGTTGCATTTTCGCTGGGTAATGGCCGTGGGTCGGTAATTTCACCCGAATACTGTAAGTGACATCGCGGAAGATCTGATGCATTTCTGGCGGCCAAGTGCGATTAAAGTAACCGGGAACGCATGTACGGTGCGCCCAGTAGAATTTTTACGATCTGTTTTACTTTTCCCAAAAAGTATTTGTATCTTACACTGGCCCTGACCAAAGGTTATCTCATAGCACTTCCATTGTTACGTTGTAGGTGTGGAGCGACGCGGCTTCTCAGATTTTCTTTTCTCTTGGACCCGGATTCGGCGTACTGTTGGCCTTGTCAAGTTATAACAAATTTCACAATAACTGTTATCGGTGAGCTATCCGTATCGCAGTACTATGTACATGCTGATAGGTGCGATTACTCTCTGCATTCTGTTGTAACCTCTGTAGCCCACCTCCCAATATGTACATCAGAAAATGACTCGTACTTGATAATGTTCTAGCGTGGCTTGCACAAATCAGAACTGCCTCCGACACATAAAGCACACTCCGTCGGTCTGCAGTCCTCACAGTCTTGATACTTCTTTCAACGATTGGAGCACGTTAGAGTAAACATAACTGCCTCTGAATAAAGGGAAGATTCGTTAGAATGATTATTCTGAAGCGCTCGCTCTGTGAACAGATTGTGACGTGCCATATCCATGGACTTCGGTTACAAAACCAGTGTCCAAATTAAAGCATGGTCCATGAACAGATATTTTCGGCAAATTCACGCATGACCCAAGGCATGGGCACTACAAACTTCGCCGAGATTGGACAAATGTCGTGGAGTAATAGTGAAATAGTATTAATACAAAAAGCAACAATATGATCGGATTCGCTCGCGAACGTGTGAGTGTACGGTGTTAGTGTAATATGTTTGGTGACACTGCACCCCGCATGTAGGTGTTGTAAACTTGAAGCGATCCTCTCATGATACACACACACAAGTCGGAAATGTCAAAATTGGTGAGCCCCATTGCCGAAACCTGCTTGGCAGAGGCTGTGACTCTATGACCCCGGTTGTTGATGATTATCGGATCATGCATGATATTTAATGCCGTTGGAAATTCCGAGCGTACAAAGCGGGCTATGACTTCCGCATGAGCACATACAGCGTATATCAAATTTTATTAGGTAGCTACAGGACATACGGTTGCTGCCGCATATTGCCACGTGCATTACTTGTGTTGTGGAGTTCTTGAGGACGATTGTATCCGACTTGATGTACGCTGATGACGCTGCGATGCGGGGCTCCGGAATGATTTGGGCTCCTTTACGGCGAAGTGTGTTGGTCAATTGCTTTACGGTACCTATGTGCCTTTTACAGCGAGCATTGTGGGTTACTGCACGGGATTGCAAAACGTGGGAAAGTGTTTCGTTTTGTCCACAAGCGCCCCGGCAGTGAAGATCGGCTGGGTTTGAGGGTGGTCGTCCTCTGGAGCGTCGAGATTTTGTCGACAGCACCCTTGTTCGCAGTTTGGCTCCTACGATGTAGGGCCTGAGAAATAGTCTCCCTGGGTTTCTTATCCAGTTATCAGACGCTGATGTCGTAAATACCCCCGAAGCAATGATTAGAATTTGCAGGAGTGACTACTTCCATGCTTCCTTCGCGTCCGTTTTGTCAAAGACGACCTGATTCCAAGTGATTACGGGTTTCATTGCGAGGCGCTGAATGGTAACTGTTGAAGGTTCCCCTATCGCCCAGCTGGTAATTGGATGGAAGAGTGAAAGGTGGCGTTTCAAGCCGTGCCTCCGAAGCAATGGGATCATACTAGACAAGCACGGAACCCCTAGGCCATAATTCTCAATTTATGCGTGAAAGAAAGTGACTCTGGTGTCCTTGGGAAGTGGTAGCCATTTTCGTATACTTACCCGGACCAGCCTATCCATCAATTTGTGGGTCTGTCGGTGCATTACCGTCATTGAGAGGCAATGTGTATGACATGGTAAAAGATAGATGGGTGAGATATTTATGCGCTGGTAAGGTTTGATGGTGTTTGAGAAGTCTCCTGCAGCTATATTTTGAGCTGGTCTAGGGAGTTTGATGGGTATTTACCCTTCGAATCAAATGGTATTCCAAGCAGCCGGAATTCTCCAGATGGCTGGATCGAAGGGATTTGGAGGGCGCCACAGGGGAGGAGCGCAGTTCAAAGTTGGCAACTTTTGCTGTCGTATTTGATATCCAGTACAATCGATTCCATGTGGTTTGTTGATAATCCAAGATGCGGTACCTCCTGTCTAAATCGCCCTAGGGGTTCGATCAGGAATTCTTGGTCACAAGCAAATAGTATGACATCATCTGTGTAAGCGACATGACCCATTGGACCTGCAAGGGAAATCAACTGTGTGTCAGACTGTGTAATGCTTCCTCAAGTGTCATGATGAAGAGCAAGGGAGAAGGTGGATCTCCATGCTGGACTCCACGCCCTGGGTGAAAGCCCAGATCATTGACGATTGAAAATCCGGAGGAGTATTAGGGATTTAGGTAATGGAGAAGAGAAGAGGGGACATCGCATGATATTGCTGCGCGGAGCAAGGAACCTGCGAGATGAAATCAATGGCTTTTGTAATGTCAAGAGAAGCAATGGATAAAACGATCGCGTTGAAGCGTGAATGTAATATCGTGGGGGCTTCAAAGCAGCCCACTTTACGAAGAAAACCCAATTGAACATGGTCAGCTGGAAATGCAGGAATCCAGCAAAGGAATAAAATTCGGTGAAGAAGACGAGTGAAGACTGAAGTTACAGAAAATGGCCGAAAGTATTCAGGGCGGGAAGGATTGGGGATTTTCGGCACTAAGGTTACACGGGCCACGTTCATGTGAGTAGAAGAATGGGAACAGGCCAGTAAGCAATTTATGAAAGATGGAATGAATCTCGGATCCATTCGACTGGTATCCTTTGTTGTGATACGGTCCATTCCGGGTGCAGACTCATCGATTGCTCGTAGTGCAGGACTCATTTTCTCAATGGTTAGGGGTTTTGCGAGATCCCAGTTAATATTTGCACAACCTCGTGGTGCCCGGTTATCAAATACTGTGGGCTGCCATAGCACATCCTTCCAGAAGCCACTGAAGCCCGGGATCACCTCTGTATCTGGTATGAATGCCTTTTTCCAAAGACCATCGAGTACTATAGCCGCAAATGGTAGAGGCGTTGTATGTGGACGTATTGAAGTCGCCATCGCTGACGATTGTTAGAGATTGTAAACGTCTGTTGCCTGCGCTTAATGGGCCATCATGTGTGAGGGAATAGGGTTATTAAATTTTGTCCTAGAGTGGTCTGTTTGTTGGTCTTTAATGACTGCTCTCAAGATAGCTGCACGGTGTTCAGCTTGTGATTTACATTGGGGCAGATTTGCTCTGACTTCCGCCATAAGACGTTGAAAGGCAGCCTGGTCACTTGTAGTCCCAGGTATCTGTAGCGAGCTGTGCATGGTTGTCGGCGCATAATTCATCCAAATTGACTCCTGTAGTGATTTCGTATAGTAAGACTGGGGATAATGACAGACTAGACGATAGAGCGGCGGGCTGTCACCAGCCTATGTTAGGGCAACATATGTCGTGTGCGCTGACATTCAGTGTTACTGCAGAGTCATTTTGATGGTCACTCAGATGGGAACCACGCTACGAGAGGGGTGAAATCATACCTGTGGAGCTCAACTGGAGTGGCGTGTCGACCTCTTCGGTCAGAGGGTATTAAGAAGAACTTGGCGACTGAGTGAGAAGGTGAGTTGGTGAGGCGGCGTGTGTAACTGAAATAGCTGAGCAGCTATAGAGGCGTTCCCTTGCTCCCATGATGTTCCAACTGAGATTTTGTAACCGTTTCTTAATGCAGTCATTTGATCTGCAAGGAAGTCGGACACGGAGTCGGCTGAACAGCTGTGGAAGATTGGTAGCGGAGGGTACTGTATCCGTGACAGGCCATAAGTGTCTCGTCCTCTAGCGCAGACCAGTTGCACTGGTGGTTGGATAGCCGCGCCAGACCATCTGTGTTGCAAGCATCCGGATGGACTTGACAGCGGGGCCGAGACAAACCACGCTTGCTTTTGAATGTTTTGTGGCATGCTGAGCATTTGAACTCCGTACAGTTGACAACGACAGTATCAGTCAAATATCCCTTTACATTGCTGCGGTGGTAAGCCAGCTGTTGACCTAGGCCCACGCTTGTGAAGAAAGAGCGCGGACATAAGTCGCAGTAATGCAAGAGTATGGCGTCAGTTGTTAAATCTGGTAAGTTGTCCTCTTGCTGCAACTCGGAAGGCGTTAACGGCTGTTGAGGCTGTGCAGCCGTTGATGTTGCTGTATTGGTATCGGACGTGGTGTTCGGCTGCTGGAATGATGCGATGGAGCAACCTAACGAGACAAGGGAATTGTGAGATGTATGAAACGACGTGTGAGGTGTGATAGACGAGCGATTCCGATGGATGGGATAGACTTTGGGGAGGGAACTGGGTAATTAGTTGAAAACTTACAATGCGGAGGTTTGTTTCCTCGTCTTCAATAGGCCGTTTTAGTTCAATCACGGCAGACTTGAGTTTTAATCGATCTGCTGGATCCATGTCTGCGCGCAAATGAATCTTCAAACACCTAAGTCTACCGAGGCGCCATAATATCAACCTCGGACGAGCTTCGTCAGCAAAAGTGACTCTCATGGGTCGCACTTTTCCTTTCAGTTCGCTTTCGCAGTCGGACAATTTGCTTCACTTACATCCCTTGTTTACCGACGTCGAGTGGACTATCAACCAGACTCTGCAGAAAATCGACGTCCTGTTCATAGTGTACCTGAGGGTTCGAATCCGACGATTCAGATGCGCGGATGACCAGCACATTGCGACGCCTCAGGTCGCCGGACGTAGTTTTCGGTTTATTTGGCCTTTGCGTTTTCCAGAAGTCGTCACTACATAGCTTGTCACATATTGGAGTTGCAGTCTCCGTCGAGGCAATGATAGACGATAAAGTGGGGCTACTCGGTGATCTAGGGACTCGCTCAACGGCGCTGGTGGTACGCGTGCAAGGTGTTTGTGTCTGTGCCTTTTCAGCACAACTTACAGAGCTGCTGGCCTTGGAACACCTCGCTTTACCGGTCCGTTGGTTAGGTTTCCCGGGGGACTTGGGCTGCAAGTTTACACTGTCACTCCTTACATATAATCTTGACAAAATCATGTTGAATTTCGCGGATAACGCGAAACTGCTCCACAGAAAGACCAGTGCACGAAAGGTGAAAGTTCATCTAGCAAACATTAAATGAAACAGTGTTTGCGTAATGCCCAAGGATCTTAGAACAGCTTCCACAGGGTGACTGCTTCACCCTTTTAAATTTACCAGCGGTGGATAAAAGGAAAATTAGGGAAATGTGCAAACATGGGGAATAGTGAGGGCTAGGACAGTATTAATGACGAATAGATTCAGAATCACAAATGACACTGAATTACACAAAAGGAGACGGATAAACACGACTTTAATAATGTAAACAACTAGGAAAACCAGCCTAAGGAAGCCGAAGAGAGGCGGCAGTAGAGAACGACAGAATGATTACCGAAAACAGACGACAATATGTTATTGGATAATCCAAAACCACAAAAATATAGCAAGTATACAATGGAAGTCAAATAAATTTCGATATGTAACACAGAAAAGCGAAACTAACTGGGCTGGGAGCAGAACGACTTATTTCAAACCGGCCGCCGTGACTGATATTTAAGGTAGAAAATTTATTATGATGATGCTGATGAGGATGAGGATGATGGATGATTATGATGATCATGATGATCATGATGCTGATGTTAGGATGATGATAAGAATAAGGATAATGAATAATAATAATAATAATAGTAATGGTGCTGCTGATGATGATGATGCTGGGGCTGAGGATGCTGATGATGTTAATGATGAGGCAGATAATAATAATAATAATAATAATAATAATAATGGATGCAAATGCCCTAGTTGCCCAATGAGCAAATGAACCGCGTAGCACAAACCCTTGGTTACGTTGATTTTCTTACATTGCTTGTGAGGGAAATATACTGTTGGCGATAGCCATGACTTTTTTGCGTGCATGCATGCGACTTATGATATCCATTGATGGTGGTTTATAAGGTGGAATTCTGGCGCATCACATTTTATGAAACAAAGTGCGTTTCTCAAGCACTTTCAAGGCAGTTGTTATGGGAGAACAGATGGCCTAGCTACTATTTAATTCATCGTTGGCAGATGGGAAACGAAACGTAATTTCGACCATACATTAAGAAATTGTAGAGCTCACACATTTTCAAACAGCTGTCTTCTGAGTGGGTCCTTCGACTTGTCCTAATTAGATGGCTGCGTTCTTGATTGCAGGCGCTGAATATCTAGTACGCTTGTATAGTGTAACCTGGTGCTGCTGGCAACGTCCGGTAGGGACTCCGAGTAGATTTAGCTCTTTGGTGGAAGATGACACAATGAGTGCACACGTGTCATCTGAAAATATGTGGTCTGTAATGCACCAAGATCAACGTTATATCAAGACTATCACAAGTGGATAATATTTTCAACGCGAGGGGACACTTTAACACTGCGTAACTTGAAGATGAATGGGTCAAATCATGAATGCCCACCAAAAATGACCCTTAAATTGTTTACTCTTTCTGGAGGCCTACTCAAATTGAGTCGAATGACCCAGGGGGTCATGTACGAAAACACTAACTTGGCCTTTCCAAAAATAAGTTTGCACCTTAAGTGCTTTAATAGGTGTAGGAGTGCCGAGTGCGAAGGTTAACAGTTCAACATTCGTTCAGAATGATTAGTAACTCGACAATTTAGAACCCATCAAGGTAGAGGTATCGAACTTAGTCGGCATCCGATTCCCTGACCAATTACCATGTTTCAACCCATTTCCAGTGTCCTCAGGTTTAAGGACACCTTAAACGGGAGTAAAACAATTAAGCCAAACTTGGATTAGCCAAAATGATTTCTGAATAATACAGATTAGTGTCTTTTCTGAAATTCCAGCCAAAAATACTAACTTATGTTAAATCAATACTTTAATCATATTTGAAGTGTGTTCTCAAAAACGCCAGTAGAAAATGGGCCCGTAAAGACAGAGAAGCACGAAGTTTGAGGCAATGACTCTGTTATCTTTAAAAGAGCAAGAACAGGTGTGACTCAGAGATCGAAACTTATACCACCCTAAAATCGATTTGAGTTGAATCAGAAGAACGGTGTTGCTTGACTCTACCGACCCTGACGGGCACTGTAAAATACTGACCAGTGGAATTCGAACCGACAAACTCAGAATCCATAATCCACTCTCTAACAACAAGACTTTCACTACAATGCAGTACTGATTGTTGGGATGTTAGTGTACGTCTGCGGAATGTCGCTAAGGAAGACTGACAAGCTACCACTGATCGGCTGTGCACGAAATAGGCAGGCATAGACGAACCTTACACAATCTAATCACTTGAAACTGTTGCTCATTTCGCTTTGGCTATTTTTCCGTTAACTCGGACTGCGCTGAAATGAACATCACACAGATTATTGCTAGATGTTGCTGGCTGGCATCAGTGTATTCCACGGATACCTCCATTCTTGTTCCCATTTGTTAGTTAGAGGCAGCTGAACTACAACAGAAACCCGAGAAGTAAGAAAAACCAGCTATAAGTTCTATTCATACGCCACCCAGCCACAGCCAAAATTTGTCACATAACCTGTGATACTTCCTATCAATTGAATTAAATTTCAGGTTACAGAAGGCGTATCTGCAATAACGACGTTATCATGTTTTAATTGATGCCTCTTAAATTACTCGGATGGATTCGTGTGTTTGTGTTGCATTAGGTAGGACATCCATTATGCACCCTAGCATTTCCCATATCTAGCACAGCCGCGAAAAGAGTTGCACAATAAGAAGTTGTTTTTTAAACGCCGCATGCTTATGCGTTCATTGCTTCACCAAGTATGGTTGGCGTCGGCAGATTTCGCCGTCACCTGTGGTCACGGAAAGCCGGGTAGCATCACCCAAAGGCCGTGACCAACTCCAATTAATGTGGAGGAAACGTGAGGTCAAGATTATACGAATGGTTTGGAAACATTAATCATTTGGGTAATCACGGCTTACCACTCTCGCTTATGCAAACTGACGAACGAATGTGTACTAGACGCGATCACGGCGGCACTTGGACCGTGTCCCGTTGAATCATATAGTTACCATTCGGACTCCACATCGTTGTCAAAGCTGCGTACTTCAGTGCCGACAGTAAGGTAAAAAGTGTACTTCATCATCACGATTTACGTGCTATTAGCAGTCGGATAGGCACCTCCGGTGGAGACAAACCAAACAAGTCACCCCGAAACGAATGTTGCGCATGAGGCAATATACATTCAAATTTTCTAGCTTAACCCATCTGCTGTGTCTGACAAGACATTTGTTGTCAGACAGTGCCGTCTCAGCATTGAATTCCTTAGGTTGTGCCTGCATACAACCTTTTGGTGTGCGAGACAGTATTTCTGTTCTAAATTCGGTGGCATGTGATCAATCTAGCATAACCTAGCGCTTTGAATATGTTTGTCCTTTCCATCATTAATACGTGCGTATTGCATTTTTGCGTAATACTCATTCAGGGATGCCATGGTAACAAGTTTCATCAACTGCGCAACTAGTTTTCTGTCAGGCTTTGTGGTCTTCTCAGTTCTCGGTCACATGTGTTTCCGCATGGGAAAGACAATGGAAGCGGTTGCGAACGAAGGTAAGTGTGGCTTTCACCAATTGAAAATGACATTTGCAACTTTTGAGTGGCCGCCTGCTGAACAACCAGCGATGTTTGCACTTCATTTTCTTTGTACAGGCTACCCAGAAACACAGTTGTTTATGATAGAGTAGGTTGTGCTAAACCGCAAAGCTGACTTTGGTATAGTCCCAAAGATCAACCTCATCTTGAGTCCTTGGCCGTCATGTGGCGTGTGTTGAAGCCATTAAATGCAGAACCTCACCTTACAATAGGCTCACATTGGCTGTAGTTTATCATACTCATTGTATTTGGTTGTATGTGTTGGAAACTGCCAATATATCCAAGAAAGGTTACTCAAAAATACACCCTCACATTGGTTGCTCCGGTTGCATCGCATTGCAACGTCGTACTGAATCAAGTACCGCCGGCGCCTCTTGCCACATTAAAGTGACCAATAAGCATATACCTGCTACTGGTTTACCGAAGGCACACACAACTTGTGAAAGCACACCCTTATAATTTTGGCTTATCGTGAATATAGAGCCCAGGGGTTAAAATGCTAAAACGTCAAGCCCCACTTCAAAACACAAGAACATAGCTTCATCTAAGCCTGCGAGCAATGCTTCTCCCACCACACTTTTCTCGGCGCGCATGAAAATCACTTATGATGTCTAGTAGGCCCGACAGAGCCATTCCAAGACCCCAGGACCGTAACGTCAAAATTTGCGTCCTTGTGCTCCCAAAAGCGGCGTGGCGCGAGCATCGGTTTACACCCTTTTCAGGTATCCACGGATGTCATACGTTTTGACGATGTGGGTGGAAGATGAGTGTTGTTCAAAGCTTGCACCCATTTGCCTTCTATTCCTGCATTTCTATGCCAAGCATAGTGCTCCCAAACGGGGTTTTGACCTCCATTAGAAAACTAGCAGCCCATTTAGGGTTATTTCGCATCTTAACGTCTCACCATCCGATGTCACTTAACCATGTTGCCATTTTTCTCTTCAGGACCGGGCTTGGTGTTCATTGCTTACCCCGAAGCTATTGCCACGCTGAAAGGCTCTACCTTTTGGGCGATTATATTCATGCTTATGTTAATCACTTTGGGGCTAGATAGCACGGTGAGTCCTCAGGGATTACTTCACTTGGATCTATAGAGGTGAACTTGTCACGGAAAATCCTTCTTCTAATGTTGATACCATGAACGCTAAGTGTTCTTGCTAATCAACTGACCGCGGCACTCGGTTTTTTTGAAAGCTATTTCTATGCTGTTCCACATCCACTATATAAGTAGTCTTCCTTCTGTCCTATATACTGGATATGTTCGTAGCTATCAAAGTAGGCTTTGTAGCACAGTCAAGAGAAGTACTTTGTAAGACGATCGTTGACTTGTACTTTTTGACTTCTGTACCCACTGGTTGGTTTATATGTTGCACTATAATATCATGTCAAATGGTATAACTGTTAACCCAACTGTGTACTGGCTCACCTGGCCTGATTAAGTTTATGTCAAGTAAAAAATGAAGCCAAATAAATAACTCAACTGATTGTCCGCAGAAACTATCTGATATCATGACTTACCATCGGTTCCAGGTATGATCCAACAGTTTGACTCGCATTTCTCGTTTTGTTTTAGTTTGGTGGACTGGAAGCCATCATCACGGCAATCCTAGATAGAATACCATCTTTGCGGCGGAAGCGAGAGTTGTTTGTCCTTCTCATCATTGTGTATTGTTTCACCGGTGCATTGGCCACCACCACTTGCGTGAGTTTGTATCACTGTTCCGTGATCTTGTTCTCACTTCTTGTCGTTCGTTGCTTCAGTAGCACAAAGATTGGTTGACAAACGCACTGGTTTTACAGGAGATTGACGCCCACCTTGGTAACGTTGGTACCTTGGTGCTGATAATCGGACCTAAACTGTCGTTTCTCCAACCTACATCGTGAACGACCCCAAAGACTGTAAACCCAGAATAATTCAACGCACAACAGCTAGAGGCCACTCCGTATCTTCTGCCTGTGCGTAATATTCTATGGTGATATTTCCCGCGATGATTCGCGAAAATTTCGAGGTCAAGAGTAATGAAAGCACAATAACACCGGCGGTTAGACATGTAGCAAGGGGGCGCTCGCCTTCAGATGTATACAGTAATGGGGATATAAGGTATTGAAGTACTACATGTGCTCTCAGTTTGGTCATAATTTTGTTTCAATTAACTGGACAAGGGGTCATCGCCAAAAGTTAGCCGATACCTCACCTCTTTCTTTACCCACTTTGGTCGAAATGGAAGTGCAATGTAGTAAAGCATGTCGCACACGTGTTTCTTGACAGTGGGGCTGACAGTGGAATGGCTGATGTGTTTTCTGACATATCATACTCGACTACTCGAACTCAGCGATCAGTAAACCTATTTCAGCATCAGAACTAAGTGACTCCAGTGCCGACGAAAGTTCCGGTAAGATTTTTATTTGCGAGGTACCAGTCCAAATTTTGCGTCTTTCAGTAAACACATAAGGAGGAACCAGTATTCCATTCTATCGTGATGGTTTTGTTACGGGTCAATCCAAAGGCTGGAGTGTCCTTATTATATATAGTAACACAAAAACACGCCTGCAATTCTGATGCGATCCCAGTGATCGAAATGGCTAAGATTTGTTGAAAATTATGTCCAGGTTCAAAGTCAGACTTATGTCGCCACCGAAATAAATGACCATCCAGAAGCCAGCAATGACCACATTCTGTCGCATACCAGCCTCCCGACTGTCTTAACAAACCAGTCAGTTTTCGTGATCTAGCTTATTCAGCCTAGAGCAGGCGGGTTTTCCTCGCTAATGTAGTTGCCACCAAATGGATTTCTCTGGTTCCAGCTGCATTTTAAGCTACTCATTTGCTACTTCATTGTTATTTGATTGATAGATCTTCCTAGAGTGTCATTGGGCCAACTATTAATCTCGATCAAATCGGTTTCCTTTACCCAGGGAGGATACCTCATACTAACCCTTTTGGATACGCATGGTGCGCCAATTTCCATTTTGTTCATTGTGTTCTGCGAATGTGTGGCTCTCTGCTGGTTTTACGGTAAGTTACGTTCCCGTCATACTCCGCGCATTTATGAGGGAGACGCTAGCGCAATCATTCCCTTTCCTTTCCATATACAGGTATGAAGCGCTTCTGCAGTGACATAAAGATGATGCTCGGGTTCACACCCGGTATCTTTTGGCAGATCTGTTGGACCTTCATTAGTCCGCTTTTTCTTCTGGTGAGTGTGTACACCCAATCTCTGCACAACTGCACTGCGACCCAACTTGAATGAAATGCACGACATGTGTATGTACCTCTAAAATACCTACAAACCCATCTGGTAACCCGTACAGTAAAGCTATAGGGGGTATGATAATTATTCCGGCTAATTGCAATTAGGGATTATGAAGAATGTGTTGTGTAGTTGATTGGCGGGTTTCTGGAGACGTTGTGTATTTCTTAGAGGTGGATGGCGTAGTAGCGTATTTTTCGTCACAGAACTATGCACCACCATTGAGGAAACGCTTCTCATTATACTGTAGACAAACCATAGCTGAAAAGAGCCCACGGTCAGGGTGATTTTGGCCAAACAGTCAGGAACATTGGCGCGTTTAGCAGAAGCAGACGTGGAGACGCTCTGGTTCTCGGCCAGTTCCAGTTCAGTGCGTGTTGGTTTGCTAAAAGTCCTTTCAAATTTCTGTTACCTTGAAAGCTGTACCCGTGTCTGTGGAACAGAAGATGAAGTGACAAATCGTATAGCAAAAGCTCGTGGTGTTTTTGACAATCTCCGCCGACTGTGGCACCAGCGTGACATTACTCTCACTTTTAAGGGCAGAGTTTAAAACGTAGTTGTGCCTTTAACCTTCCTTCACAATTGCGACGATATTGTCTTACTGTTTAACGATGTTGAGGCGGCGCAATCAACCCTGAAATTCCTCCCCAGAGTGGTCCCATCATTTTATATGCACTAGGCACCATCAAAGTGCAAAGCGTTTTTGCAGGATCACCAACCACTTGATGACCCCTTGACCCTTGATAGCGAGGAACACGGCGTAGTTAATCAGTTCACTTGCATTGGCAGCTGCGTCAGCAACGATGGGCGTATAACTGTTGAAGTCAATACAAGTATTACAAAGCCAGCACTATCTTCTTGAATGTACGATATCTTTGGCGCCAGAAAGAAGTTTCCCTTCGTTTAAACGCCTTGTGCAGAAGAGCACAGTTAGAGCCGTCCTAATCTATGAGAGTAAGACGGCCCCTTCAGTCTGAAGATCTGAGGCGCTTTCAAGCCTTTTATCATCGCTGTTTGCACGCATTGCTGGTGTCGGATGGCAGCTGCTTGCCTGCAACGATGACGTATGTAGGCCAGTGCTAAATAGGGATAAGCATGCTAGTTCCTTAAAACAACATATAACACTGCATATGCTGCGTTGGCTTGCGTGCGCACCACGTACGCTCGGTCACCGCTTACCTAGGAGTGTCTAGTTTAGTCTGCCAGATTTAGCGTGGCGCAAGGCTCGAGGTGCACAAAAGTTGACCTGGCAGCAGAAAATGAGATCAGTGACGACCATACTCGTTGCCGTTGGTAGGTCTCACCTTCCAGGCTGAAGTTCGCGTGATCCGGCTTGTGCTTGGCTTGAGACGTTACAAGACATGACTCGCAGTCGACCCCAGTAGCGTGTTTGCTGTCATCTCCCAGTCAGATCGCCAGTTTAAACTTGTTGAGTGTTGAGTTATTTACGGGTTAATGGATGCTTATGACCCGGGGCAGTGAAAGCCGCAAGGAAGCTGTCTCGCTGATGCCGCCTTATCTTTGCACGATAGCCGGCTGTTTGTAACAGTATTTAGTTGACAAGGTGTAGGCGCCTTGACCCTGAATACATGCGTATGGCCTTAATATTTTTCTTTAAGACCCCCTTCCCTCCTAGTTATTCTTTGTTTTGTTGCTTATCATTGTTTTATGGCGGCAAAGCATCAGTTCAAGTTTGTAATTTACTGTTCTTGTTGATGACGATGAGGACGACGGTGGGGATAAGTATGAGGATCATGATGACGATATGAAACGTGACCCATCAGATCAACAGATAAGAGGATAGCTAAGTTAGATAACCACTGCCTTCGCACCTTGGCTCATGTCTGGTGCGAGCGCCGCGCTAACAGTGTGCGTGTTCCGTGTCGAGTATTTGGGGCAGGAAGAGGGAGTGAAGCGCTGAGCATCATAATCTTACATCTCAGGTACCCTCGGCTGGGCCACGTGTTGCACATACCAGTGCACCAACTTCAACGTCATGCGTTGTCTACGCGACCGGGGTGTGGATGGAAGAAGAGGAGGGGAGTTCAAGTGATAACTCTGTCGATAGGTCCTAAGACCTGCAATTTGAAGTTATCGCCAGTTGGTGTTTCCCGACTGTTGGGCTGGGACCCCAATGAAAACGAACGTGGTTGATTAGAAACAGTTGTTTGCATGGCCAGGATCCGATCTCAGTGGCGTTTATGTTGTGAGTTTCTTTCTTCCTCCCCATCCCTCTGAGAATCCCCTTCGAACCAAGATCTCCGTGTCGATGCGTAGTAATAATAAAATGTGAAATATTAGTTATTCCTATAGTGTACCTTTTACTAGTTATTGTTTTCCCATTTTCGATTCTTTTTCAAATTTCTTATTGCATTGTATTTCGGCACAATAGGTTCGGTGTTGTACACGTCCAATTGACGTGTAGCAAGATGAGGATAATAGTATGCTATCGAAGGTTTCCACTTCCGTCTGCTCTGCCAACCGCATCACACGACTTCAAATGAGGGCGGCACTCCAATGAAACGGATGGCTCCCGAAAGGCATCTCACATCGTCTGTTTGGTGTCAGTATATTTACCGAAAGTTATCGAATTACCTTAAAAGGAAACCGAAACAAAATCCTTCAGTTAGCACTGTAAAATATTTGTGCGGGATTAAAAGCTTAACTTGCTGCTGTGGTGTTTTATAGTCTATCTTCAGTTGTCTACATCCGGATGTTCGATGCATGAAAGTGTATTTTCAATCATAGTTGCTTTCATGCTTTCTTGTGCAACTGTCCACCCGGCAACTAGGAAGCCGCTGTTGATCGTTCAACACCAGAACTTATACCATAATCTCCACTAGGCAACCTTGCAGATGCACTCTCAGATAGCATGCATACTCCAATAGAAATTCCGGCATCTATGCCAGGCAGACATTCAAGCAACAACGATCGGAGAATGTGCAGATCCTGTCCCATACGCCGGCAATCGAACCCAATATGGTAGTAAAATAGGTTAGGTTTCACGTTAGTTTCTGAAAACGATTTTTGTCTTAGTTATTGGACCTTAGCATATCGAATGTCGCTCCTGCAATAGTGACTGACGTCCAGATTTAGCTGCTGCACAGCATGTCCGACGTGTTACGAACAAGGTGATCTGATCTCTTCTACTCGGTTAATATCTCGAGAAAACCCAGGTGTCCACTTTAATTTTTTTAAAACCTGATGTATCCCACGTTGAGGTAAAACCGATGCAGTGGTTTCGCCTAGAGCGTGAATGTAGCTACCTTCAAAAAATCTTGCGAACCCACTTTTCGATAGTGCTTCCATTTTCGAAATTCATTCTCCACACACGCTGAGATTTGCTGTACACGCCACTTCTTGCCAAACCTATTTATCCGTTTTTCTGACCTGGGAATAAAGGATTTCCATTGTGAGTCTAGGGCCTTCTGTAAACGCGTTGGAGTATACGATTGAGAACTATACTTTTACTAGCACGATGCAACTCTCGTGCAACGTCCTTGATCGCCACACTCACCATCTCTGCACTAGTTGTGAATAGTGGCGCTGCACACAACAGTAGCTTTGTCAGTCATTTCACACTTGTTGGCCATCCTCACCACAAGCAAACGATTACAATTCGATTTGTATGCAAATAGCTGCCCAACGCTGTCAGTTGAAACACCCACAGCTTTCCAGGCAAACTTACATACACAACCACGGTCATCCTTTGTCTTCAAAAATATGAGAATGTGCAATGGGATCAACAAGAGACTTATGGTCTGACAAGGATTACGCGGCATCAACGAGCAGATGTCTGTGCGCAGGCACATGCTGCCAAAACTGTTCAACGATCAAGGCAGCTGGGCTACCTAAACTACGTCTGTGTGTATGCACGCAGCATTTTTAAAATCTAGATGCGGCGATAAGCAGCCGATTCGTTTACAAAGGATATAACAAGCATGCTCGTAACTAATGGTAAATTTGGCCCATCCAGCCAACGCTTTTAATCCCTCAGAGCGATATTGAGGATAAATCATGGCGGATTTCAGCGAAATAGGAGGCACAAATCTTGTGCTCACAATCACAGTACGGATGCAGCAAGCCCCATTCTTTTATTGACTGTATTGTTAGTGCCCTTACTTGGGCAATTTATAGTTTGACCAATTTTTCCAATGATAGCTGTGGTTGAACCAGACAATGTGCTTTCTTCTTTCGAACAATTACGTATTATTTACGTAGCCTACGCAAAACCAGACCATGTTCCCTACTGCTCTGAAAGAGCTGTAGTATTCTCACTCTATGCAACATTGCTTGACGTTTGCTTTCTCATTTTTGTCAGAAGCGCTGACAAGTGTGCTTCAAGGCCTGTAGAAACAACGCAAATTACTGAACGAAACATCCGTGCGAATTTTCAGCATAGCTATTGGATAGGTTGTTTAAACACGCTGTACAATTATCAAGCAATAAACAAGGCTAATTTTATTCTAAATCAGGGGATTGGTACACCTATTTGTCTAAGGGATTTTCGGATTTATCTTACGTTCGTGCTTTTGATGAAGATCAGCCTTGGTTAAACACAAGTAGGAATTTGCTGTCCTCTCAAAAATACATTAGACACTTCCTTAACCCTCCCAACTAGACACTTCGTCAATAGTTAGAACAAGAAAGATTTTGCCGTTTTCCCACTAACTGGAAACTTGCTGTCTCTTCTTTGGTGGACGTGTCGGTTTTCGCATAGCCTACGATAATCAAGTTAGAATTTACGACTTAGTCCCCAGTATAAAACTAAACTATACAGCTCCCTTAACCATTCCGTACGGACAATAAACGTCGAGATAGCAATATCTTAGATACTACCCCTGAAATCAATGAATCTGACCCACGGCAGCGTTAACCGGTGCACGGTATTGAAGTACATTCTATATCATCATCATCATCAATGCACGATAGCCGAGGGTTAGAAA